ATATTTGTGTGTGTGTGTGTGTATGTGTATGTATGTATGTATTATGTAGATTATCTTTTAATTTGTGGCCAGAAAGTACATTGCCATGGCCTAATCTATTGACCAATATGACAACAGCATTGTTGAAGCCAACAATTCATTAGACGGCAAACTACCAACTGTTACATGAACTGCATATGATGCTAATGATACTGAAACGGTTTTAATTTTCAAATGAGATAATATTCACCATGTAAACCGAAAGGATTATATGTTATCAGTTACCCAATTTAAATACAGACAGACATGAAACAGTATGTACGAACATTTGATATACTTCATAATCTAATGAAATACAGGCGTTTAAAACACAAGAGAAGTAAGGGAAACGCTTTGAGTAGCAGTATTAGCATCCAAGATATATTGTAAAGTGAGAATGAGCCGAGAAAAAGGCATATGACAGACATGACAGGGGCTGAATTCCTACCATTAGTAGATGTGATTCATACCGTCCTGGTGGTGTCATGAAATCTAATTTTAGTCATGATGATAATGTGAGATTGGAATATGCCAGCAATGGTAATGGATGTGAATGTGTTATTTGGCTACTGTTTGCATCGCCCTGCATAGAACATGAACGTACAGCGTTTGTGTATTTTGAAAAGAACGTGAATGAAGCATGGATAGATTGTTATTAAAATTCCAAGGCAATATCTTTCACCTGATATTTAGATTTTTTTTTAATGCAAGTGCCGGAGCATGTATTCATTATTAGAAACTTGAGCCAGGTAGATTTTTTTCACAGGAGTTGACTATTAGCTATTAAAAAAAAACAAAAACAAAAAAAACAGGAAGTATTTCGGGTTGTATATTTTTGTTCTATTGGGTAAATTCTCCAGATTTTTTTTTTTTATACAACTGAATTAGTTAAATTGTAGGAATCCTTAATGTGATGCAGTTAAATTTCTCTATCTTCTTGCTTCTTAGCAATATAAAGTATTATTACTACTATTATTATTTGTTATTTTTATATTTATTTTCATTATGATTATCGTTGTGTTATTATTATTATTATCATTTTTATTGTTATGAATGTTATTATTTTTGTTACTACTATTATTTTATTTATTTGTTTATTTATTTATATTTTTTTCTCACTCGAGAATCAGTCAAAGGAATTCAGACGTAGTCTTATCGAAATAGGAAAAAAATGTCCAATGTCTACAAAAATATATTCAAATAAATATGAATACATTCTTTTGTATTGTAAATATAATCTGTGTTAGTTTAGTAATATTTTCTATATTAACCTTTCACTTGCAATGTTGCAGGTAGTGGCGGTCCAGAAGAGGTCGAACGACCCTTCCCTTGCGACGACCTGAGGCACGACCTGAGGTACGACCTACGGCCTGACCCCCGGATCGACCCCCGCATCGACCCGCCACTTGACCTCCGTGGAGACATGAGAAGTGACCAGCGGATTGATCTGAGAGGTGACATGCGTGCGGAGGCGCGTTGTGGAGGAGAGCGAGCAGGCTCTTCGCCACCACTTCCCCCTAGTTCATTGCCACACTCCTGCCAGCTGTGTGGAAAGCTCATCTCATGCCGCCGCAACCTGTGGAAGCACATGGAGCGCGTGCACTTCAACAACCCCGCCGTCCGCTGCTCGCTCTGCGCCAAGATGTTCAAAAATAAATATGCCCTCAAAGACCACCAGCGTATATACCACGGCGGCCTGAGCGAGCCACCCCCGCCCCCGCCGCACTCTGCCTCCCTCTTGTCACGCATCCTCCAGGACCCTCGGCATCAGCAGCCCCCTCAGCCCCATGACCCGAGGGGCCCTCCACCCCCTCTGGAACTCCCACAACCCACCCTTCTGCCTCGCGATACCCACATCCGCCACCACATGGAATCATCTCACACCCAGGCTCTCTCGCGGAGACACCATGAAGATGAGGACATAGGTGGCGCAGCTGCATACCCAGGTATGGGCATGGGTCCCATAATACCACAGTCACTGGCCCCGACCATGGTGGGAAGCCCTTCATCATTAGCTGCACCACGACCCGAGTGGCCCACCCAGGACGACCCAATGGCACTGGTGAATCGTGCCCTGTTATCGGAGCTGCACCATTTAGTAACCAAGGCTGACTAGGTCGTACCTGGAGGCTATTTAGGCCACTAGTGCATCTCCCACTTTTGGCCCCAGGCAAAGCCCAGCTCACCAGTAACTCCAGTGAAGCCTAGCCCAACATTGGCCCTAGTGATGCTTGGCTCACCACCCCTGCACTTGGGGTGTCCTTGCCTGGCCGTCCCGTGGCCTGACGCTGGTGCTGGTGGCCACCCGTGTCCTTACAACGACCACGCCCACACCGCCCACTCTGGGAACCTCGTTGGGCATTTATTTGTCCACGGTATCCAGTGACATCACCTGTAGCCAGCCTATATATCCTTGTAGCGTGCCGAGGTGGGCCCAGGGGGGCCGCCGCATCTCACTATTGATAGCTTTAACCTCCTCCGGAGTTCTGCTGTTACCAAACGGGCGCCGTGTCCCTGCCTGGTGCCTGTTCGACACGGCATTTAGTCGTTACCACGATAGTCTCTCCAGTTGTGTGTTCAGCTCGCACCCGCAGCTACCCTTTACATAGGCAGCCTAGACTTATGGACGCACACGCTTCCCTAATTCACTGACTCAACCTGAGGTCCACAGTGACAGTCCCGAGGTTATGACGACATCTGCTGCTGGAGTTGGAGACATTGAAACCTGCTTCGGATTTTTCATTCCAGCAGTTTGTAAAACCTGTGATTGTGATAGTGATATGAGTGACTTTTAAGGTGTATGGATAAAATTTGTAATATATTGGATTCCAAATATCTCAATGTCCAAAAATAGTTCATATTGGCTGTGATAGAAATAAAATGAATACTGTATGGATGTGATAGAAAAAAATCTATTGAACAGAGTTGAAGATTCTGAATCAGTAATCAATGTGTCCTACACATGACTGCCTGAGTCGCGCCTTGAACTCAGTGGTCCATGGAAGCGCCATGTTCGGTACCCCCCATGTAGTAGTAGTAAAGAATGGGCATTAGTTCTACCCATGCAATCACCAGCATTTTCTAGGCACAACTACACATTGTAGCGACCAAGGAAGTCTTCTAAAATTCATCAGCTGGTCTTGTTGGAATCGTAGGTCGCTCAGTAATGTAATGTAGAATGTGCATTTTTATAACTTTAGCAAAGGATACAAAAGGTAAATATAAGATATGCTGGGTTTAAGGTGATCAATACAAATAGATCACTTTCCGAAGACATTTCTCAACTACATCGCTATAAGACATGGCATTTCTTGCGTTATTTTTTTTCACATATATGATTCAAGTTGCATGACATTAACTTCAATAGCACTATCTTGTTACTGCATTGATTACTAAATATGCTTCATCCCCAGTTGTCAATGTCAGTACTTTGAAAGCGTGACATTATTGATGTTTTAACGTTATATAACATAAAGAGAGCCCTAGGTTCTACATAATATTTCATTGCTGCTCACAACGCTTCTTTGTACTTGGCATTTTGAGAACCCATTTCTTGTTATTGCCTATATACAGAATTTGGCAAAGTCTCATCTTTTTAGAGGAGCTGGACGTACTGCCACAACTAAAAAAAATGAAGAAGAAAAAACTAGAATAAATATTAAAAAAAATATATAGTGTCAGCCTAGTGCATGCCAAGGTCACTTGAATTCTCCTTGGGTTTTTGGCCAGGGGGATCCCATGGCAATAAGGCCTTCAGTGCTCCCGTAACATATTTTACGCCTAGGGTCATAAAAAGAGGCTTGATGCATCCTCTCACAGGAGCTAGACTTATTGTACCCTGCTAAGGAACCATATCTGTTGTCTTTTTGTAGTTCAATATACTGCCAGAAGTGCCAGACCCATGACTTTTTTATGGAAGGCACTTGATACCTTCCAGACAATAAGGAGGCCAGGGTCATTCCTTTTTTTATGCTTAGACTCATTATATCAGTCAGTTTCTTTTTTCAAGTTCGTATATATATGTTGATTCGTATTTGTGTTTTGTTAATAGTCTAAATTATATTTTCTAGTATAGCAACTCAAAATACTTTTAAAAAGTGTCCTGGCAATGTATAATCTTTTGAGATGGATCATCTTACACCTCCTGCATTAAGAGCTTACCCCAGCACCAAGTAGGGTAGAAAGACTTGAAAGCACTACTGCCTTGCAGAGGAGTCAGCGGTTATATTTTTTTGCAGATATATTGGAAATCATGGTAATTGTCAGGAATACCTTTGAAAGAGATTAGTCACTAGCTCCTCTGCATATTGAATACAGCACCTAGAGTATAGGGATCAGGACTGAGATGTATCAGAAGATCCAAGCACAGTTCAGCAGAGTAGGATTTTGCTACACATATTTTACTTAAATAACATGTTTTCCAGCATAAAAGAGCTACTTACTTCATGTAGTCCTGCAACTTGTCTAGTGGTAATGTTTAGTAATTCGTATGAGACATTACCGCAGCTCCGCTTTTCAGATGAGACAGTGCTACAGCTGCAACTCTAAGGAATGCCATGCCATAGCGCTATTATAAAAGGGAAGGGAAATGACTAGAACGCCGCATCCGTGGACCAATG